GGGGGGGGGGGGGGGGGAGGGGGTAGGCTTTGATACAATATCCTCAGGAGAAGATGCCACTCAGTGCAGTTATATGAGCAGCCAAGCACAATGGAGAGGTTTCTCCTCAATGTATTATTTCTCTGTTGGTTTCCGTTCGTCTTTGAGGACGCTGTGGTATCAGTGTTCCAGCCTGTGTTCCCGTCAAAGCTGCCGGTTCCTCCTTGTACCCGCTTGTACATTTGCCTGCTATGACACTGGCTCTGTAAGCAGAGTGTAATTTACAATTCGTTCTGTCATGTCCGGGTGTTACAGGATTGTACCATCTGTGCGTCCCACAGGCAGCGAGAGGGAAATGAATGTAGGCGCAGACATTCATCAGGCACAACGATATTTCAGCTAAAGAAACATCGGGCCTTATTAGGACCCCGGACACAGAGGGTGCGTGTTAATGGAGGACTTGGTAGAGTTTGAACTGCTTGGCAATTTGTGTCCAGTTACAGAAATGTAATGTGCTTTAATTTTGGTCTATGGCCTGCTTGTCACTCTCAACAAACGACTTGCCAAAGCACAGCTCACGCCAAATGTCTTCAGTAGGCACCGCTAAAAGCACAACGCGATCGTACACCTGAGGGGAGGGGGGGGAGTAAAAAGAGCCAAGTTTTTTTAGTAATTTTGCAAAGGCATGAATTTATAGATGATAGATTCCAGGCAGCTGCGCAAGTCTCAAGTTCTTCCCCAGTCAATCACAAACATCAGGAGGTTAAAAAAAGAACAGGAAGCAGGGACAGGCGTGGCGGCGAACATGGATGGCAGCCACACAAACAGCTCGAGCGAAATGTACGGACAGTAGGGAGGGATTAAATTAAAACCCTGGCTCACAAATCATATACTCTGAACTGATGGCAGGTTTTAAACTGAAAAGGAACTCTTGGGCTGACTCCAGACAGACTTTATCAACAGTGCAAGTTGATTTAGACTAATGGGTATTACTAATGTAATATTGTATCTGCTGCATAATATAGGTAATTTTTTCTTGACATAAGACCTTCACTGCAAGCCCAGCCTCAGTTCTCATTTCACTACAATCTGCCACGGAGGTCCGATTTTTTTCCCCATGAAAAAACGTTGTTTCATCTTGTTTTCCCCCCCCATGTCTTAAAAAATGGGAGATATGTTTTGAAAGAAGATATACATCAACCTGAGTCCCCATGCAGAAATTCTGTTCCGTTTAAGACCTTTTTCTGTTCCATTTAAAACGTCTTTGCCCTCCTATCATCCTCTCATAGGCCCATTAATCAAAGCAGGTGACGTTTATGTGAGACCCCAATCCCATTCAATGGCGTGAAATAAGTTACTTTATGTGATAAAATATTGCATGATTTTCAAAAAATCCATTTAGGCAAACCGATTAACCATTTTGACATGCGTGAGGATGAAATCGAGATGCGTTAATTGTGAAGTTAAGAAAACAAAGTATGTTGCAGGTATTGTTGTGTTGAAGAGGTGCGCACATTGCCATGGTGGCGGGGGGGGGGGGGGGTATTCCTAGTACTGGGCAGACAGTCATGTGACTGCCAGGTGAGGTTGACCTGGTCACGAGTGATACAGGTGAGATGACTGGGGCTGCCCCACCTAGGGTGACCATCTAATCTATATCAGGGGGGACACTAAGGGTTGGGACTGGGTTTGTAAACTACCATTTCGGTTAAAAAGATTTGAATTTCACTGAGTTCTTGTTGTGTATTTATTGGTCTTCAATAATCATGCATGTGTCACTAATGTTAATGTGAAACAGCTGGACGAGTCTTTCAACCTAGGAAACAAACCAGTCAGAGGACAAGAAGAATTAAACTATTTAGCCAAGCACAGGAGCCTTACAGTTTTAAACTAGTTTGTAAAACCTGAAGTAGCTCATAGTGTCCCTCCTGACATGGATTAGGTGGTCACCCAAGCACCACTACGAAAGGAACCGTCACAAAGCATCAGATTACAAAATTCCATAAAGGGGACTCTTTCCCAAACCGCAGTATGCATTCCCAGTACACATCCAGGGCCAGCCATGAGCCCTGGAAAATCTATAAGACAAAGAGCAAAGAGCTGATGGCTTCCTCAGCCATCCCATCATCCACCATCAGCTCCCTCAAGCACTCAAAATATTTTTATGAGGTAGAACTTTTGCCAGCACAAGTACTAAACTAGAGTTGACACGTGGAAGAAGTCTGCTATTCCCACAGTCAAATGCCATTTTCATTCAGGTGCCCTTAAATAATGGCCAGTGATTGTGTTTAAGTGGCCGTTCGCTGCCACTTACAGTCTGGTCTTCTTAGCGAAGCACACAGTCCTGCTTCAGACTGTCTGCATTTCCACGTCTTGCATCATAAACATGCAGTAACGCGGATTCTTACGAGCTGCCTCGACGGTGCCATGTTTAACAGGAAATAACCGCAGGACTCCATCTGCGCTGAGGCCTGGCCCATTGGGCGCTGGGATCCGAGGCTCTCGCCGGCCGCGACAGAACATGCTGCCCACGTACCACACACAGATACGCCGCCTTCTTTATTGATCCCGCCTCTGAAATCTTCAAGCCCGTGCCGCCAGATCAGACATTCCCCTTTCCCAAAATTCTCCCTCTATTGATTTTTTTTCAGGGCTCTTTCAGGGACTGCATAATTAGATCTCTTTTTTCCTGGCATGTGTAGATCTTCGGTAATGCCGGGAGCGAGTGGGAGATTATCGCTTATCACATCTCCCCATCTCCTCACGCATGGTGACTGCTCCACTACAATAGCACCATAAATTGGTGTTTAAAAATACAGAGTGAAATTTTTAAGTTATATATATAGTAACATTTTTTATGAATGCTGTGCCAATAAGAATCTATAAACACACTCATAATACATTATAATGCATGTTTATAGCATTATAAACATGCCTATAAATATTTATAAAGAAGCATAACACCATATAGCCATTTTTATTATGCATTATGAATGCTCTATGAAGCTTTCTTCTATACTGCACTATAAATACCTTCATAAAGCAGTACAAAAGCATCCTTAATGTTTATAATGACCATTATAATGCATTATAGAGGTATCTATAGTGCATTATAGATGAGACCTTCATTGGAGCTTATGAAGTATTATAATCCACACTATAATTCCTTATGACTGTCAGTAGAAGATTTTATACTGTAATGCTTTATTAATTGCTATACTGACCATTATAATGTGTTATGATGGTATCTATAATGCATCACAGAAGACAGCTTCAAGTGTCATTATACATATCTATATATGTATATTTACATATATGTGTGTGTGTGTGTGTATATATATATATATACTCCAGGCTTTAAAAAAGGCAAACTAAGTGGCTGCTTAGGGCCCAGCTGCCACCAGCCCCCCCCCCCATCTAATCAGCCTGTCAGAATGGGAAGGAAGATGACAAATGACAACTAGCTTAATCATATTTTGCTTAGGGGCCCCAGAAAGGTTTGGGGTGACCCTGTATATCTGGCTATTTGGGACCTGGAAACCCGTCAGACAGGGGTTCCGGGTTCAGGATCGCCTCTGGTTAGGCCCAGATTGCACAAAATCCTTTATCGTTTGTTTAATGCTTCTCATTTACTCTGTCTCCATAACTGTATTTAAATTTGAAACCCAGCCTTTGAAAGGCCTGTGTGGCTCCCGATGCTTAATGAATCCCTCTCAGAAGTATGGATATTGTCATTGTCATCTCGGCAAAATATGATGAAGCATGCGCTAAATGGCTAAATGGGCGCCCGTGAAGATCCGCCCGGTGACAGTACTGGTCCCTGATGAAGAATTTCGGAGATCAGGTGTGAATCTAAATGCTGTGCAATAACAATCAAAGCCATCATTTTGAGTTGCTTTAATGTGTGAGGCTGTATTTTTGCCAGTAATTTTTTATTAGTGACATGAGTAGCGGGGAGATACTTAGACAAACATTGGAGCCATGCCTGCAGTGAAGAATGTGTTTTCTTGAGTACATCTTGAAGTATTCACTCAGTTCCCCGGCTGTTAGCTCATAAACACTGTGTTTTGGAGAGAGTTTGCTTTCATTATTAATGCAGAACCATTGGTCATTCCCCTAAAGTAATGAAGTACCTAATTGCCCCAATAAAACTAGAAAAAGATATTGGCCATTGTGGACTCAAAACTACGATGCAGCTTAATACTTTTATTCATTTTTTGGACCAAAATATCTTGCTCACAATAATTAAGATATATCATTAGCATATATATTAAAACGGCGGGTTCACATACGGTTGTTTGCGCAATATAAATGGCCGCCTTATTTTCTGGGATATTTCTCCGATGAAGAACCAGGGCCCTGTAGGAAACTGAAGTCAGATCGTCAGCTAGTCATGTGAAAGACTGTTACCTTGTGCCTTTTTTCAGTGAAATGGGGGCATTACTGTGAGCTATGATAAATAGCGTCCATTTTTGCCAGGAGCGTGTGCGCGGGCCCCCTGACGAATGAATGTGTATGGGCACCGGGAAAGCATGGGGTCGCCCCCCCCGCTGGCCGGTGATTTACAGGGCTGCCGCGCATCTCCTGGTAACAGGGCCTCTCTGTCACAGGATGTGCTGCCATGCCCAGCTCATTCGGATGCAGTGAGGGCTGCGTGTGACATACGTGGGAATGATGGAGGGGAGGAGCCGATGAAGGACTTCCATTGGGGTTGGGTGCGGGCGGGGGTTGGGTGCGGGCGGGGGGCGGTGGGCGTGTGCTTGTTCATGTCTCCGCCTTTGCACGCACGGCGGATGGAGCCATCCTCTGAGCATGTGTCTCTCTGCCCTGCTTTCTGAACACCTGCCATCTCGCAGAATTAATTCACTCTTTAAATTTAAGACTCCTGGCCGACTCAGAGGATTTACCCGAGTCCCGTGTAAAAATGATTATAATCATTCTGTTGGACAGTCGGGCACTGTGAGTAATGTTGCCATTAGCCAGCCTGAGATCCGGCACTGCTGTCAGTCCCGACAGCGAGGGTGCCGTACGCCATGCCCTCTCCAGTTTCCCTCTGGCCGCATCGCCTTCTCTCCATGACGTGACAGGAATCAGGCACTTGACCAATCAGTGCTATCAGATTGCACCACATTAGGGAGCATCTTCCCGGTGCAGTATGGGTAATGCCGGTATCACCCTGATTAATAATTTCCATCACCCTCGATTTCCATCAGTCTTCTTCTGCAGTGCAGAGGGGGAATATGTGATTCCGCTTGCCAGTTATGTTCATACAAGGCCTTTGTTTCTCTCGATTCGCATAGTCGCTTCTAATTGGTGTAAATGGATAACACGGGATTTCCATTGATTAACATCAGACGGCAATGTCGCACGCTGCATAATCCCGCCTTAATGCCCGACGAGAGTAAATACGGAAAAGTCAAGCGGCAGGGAATCTGGGAAGGCTGGATCTCAGTCATGTTCGGGTTGAGTGAGCGCCTGGACGCATTCAGCTAGCACTATAATAATGGACGACCTCGTTAAGGTTTTTCTAAAGCTGGTCTGTCACCATGTGACCCACCCTCATTCAGCTGAGGTGCACTTTGTCAGTGGGGGGGGGGAGGTTGTAATGTCTGCCATGGATGATCAAGCATGCTCTTAGTCATGTGCTAAGAATTTAGGGCTGTCCTTAGGCGGCCATGAGGAATCCGCTCTTGAGAGAAATCGGATGCCATGTCCCCTGCTGTGTCCTGATTGCGTGCGTCCAGGCGGCCAGTGCCGTCACCGCATAGGTCACCGCATCCTGTGATGAAGATGATGACCAGGGTAGCCTGCTCTTGCCTTGATAAGTGTCCCCCATTTCCTCGCTTGTGCCGAAATGACAGATTCGCACTGAAGAGCAGTCACAGATCGTTTTTCAGAGGTACTTAATCAGATTTATGAAATCTGGCTTGGCGCAAGATCTTTGTACTTCTTCCCAGACATAAAGATTCATGGCCCGTTTATTAATTGGATAATTGCATGCAAATTAAAACCAAAGTTAACCTTGTTGTTCTACGCAAACTCAGACACATGCGGTCAGGAGAAGCAGTGTGTGGGCCGGTTTTGAATTGTATTCCGGAATTCATTTTTGCTCGATTATCTGTCTAGATAATTTTAGCTTTTGACCTGAAAGGACCGCATTGCAGATTCATCAGATTCAGCTTCCCATTGGTCCAGCTTCAGAAGGATCAGGAGGTCGTTTTCCATCATAAAGCAATTTTGGGAGCAATCGCACTCTACCTCCGCTGTATTTCAAATGGCTTTGTTTTCTGCCACAGAGCCACTGTTTTAATGCACTCGCGAGAGCCGTCGTTTTCCTTGGAAAGCCATAAATCACAGGGTTTCATTCCCTTTTTTCAGTTTTCAACATGTATTTAGCACAAGTGAGCCGGCACCTTCTGTACGCACGCGCCCTCGTACGTGTGTACAGACTAACCCTGCGTGCGTTTACGAATACATTATGCAAATAGGTACAAGTGGAGCGATTTCTCAAAATAACACGCCACCGTGCGCACAATTTCCCCTGCCTCGCTAAAACCAGTTTACCATCTATACACCAGAAGCTGTAGGACTAGTAATCGTCCATCACGCATCCCATAAAGGCATGAAACACTGTTACCACAGTTACCAGCCATACTGTGAATGATCAGACATTAGGAGAAGAATTCATACCGTTGCCATGGATGACTGGAGGGCAAATTACATCTCGGATGGATTTTGCCTCGGTGAAAATGATCCTGTCGTTCTTCAGGCACGTCTCGGATTCTGTTTTTCACGGGTGGCTCCTACAGGGAGCGGCCGCATGTTAAGCTTCAGCCCCGTTTATTCGTGCTTTGTATAATCAGGTGGCAGAAAGCATCCAGAGACTGTCCCAGGTGACCATGGGCATTTGTGTGCTAAGCGATTCCGCTCCCAAAACAGAAGGCAAAACCGGGTACCAGGTGTGCTGTGTGATCGTACGATTCTCTCAACCCAATTTGGATCATCGTTTTTGGGTTGGCGGATGCGGGTATGAATATCTCTCCTAGAAAGCGGTCACAGTTGGTGGTTCATTCTAGAAAGCGCTGTCTTCCTGAGAGAGGTTGTGAACCTGTTCTGTCTGAGAGCTGTTTTTGGTCGCTCTCTCCACGAGTCAGTTTAATGAGGCCTGGAGCAGGATGCCTCCGCTTGGTCCCGTGGTGACGGCGGTTCTTCTCGTGACCCAGCACAGGTCTCAGGGCCCTCGGGTGGATTTGGTAGCAGGATTCTCACCTTTGTGTCCACCAGACACAAAAATAGCACCAGGCCGGACAACTTCTTTGCACTAGACAAATGAGATTTTTCCAAAAAAAAGAAAACCTTCTCATTGCCCGCAGTGGCCAGCATTGTTTTTTTATCAGATGTCCCTTTGAAGACATCAAACGTTGGTCTGGCACAAGTCTGCCAGCTGATATAGGAAACCTATTAGTGGCAACTTTGAGCGAACCACTTCAATAACATCATTGAAAGAAAACCAATATGAATTATCCTTTGCCTCGGTATGAAAACAATAGTATTTCTTTTTCCAATTTATTTTGCTTGTAACGACAATTGAGTCTCAGCACAGGCGATGCTTTTGGTTGCTATGACAACCCACTAGTGGAAGCAGTGCTGTTGAGGCTAGCGAAAGGAGAACGAATCTCTGTCTTTGAAAGAACGCAGCTAAAGATGGAAATTTTATCCCGTCTTAAGGCACCAGCGCAAGACTGACACTTGTTCGGTGCACCTCCGATGATAACACAATGCAGGGCAGGCTTACAGAGCCTAAGTGTGTTTCAGTGCAGTCAGAACCAAGATGGACGTTGGTCATAATCCCCCTATTGCTGGTATCTGGCAGATACCCGATACAAGTGGCTTCTCGATGTGATCCTTTCATGTCTGGCCGGCCCAGAACACTGTTGAATAAAAAAAAAAAACAGCTCTGGGTTTATTGTATGCCTTGTGGGGCTGCAGTATTCCTCCCTCCCCGATCCCTGAAGGATCCCAAGCTACCTCCACTTCCAGCATCAATCACTAGCAAAGATTTTAAAATCCCTGTTTGTCACTCCCCTGAAGGGCCTCTCAAAACAGGCCTCCTTTTAAATCGCCTGTCGCAAGGCACCTTGAAGTAGCCCCATCCGGAGCAGTGCCATGAGCGAGACGGACGGAAATTGGTTCGGACAAGAGCACAGAGGGTTGTGGGTAAGAGTTCCTCCAAGCATTCTCAAGCATCTCCTGAAGCCTTCACTTGCTGCCTGTTTGCCCAGGACTGTGAAACGCGCGTCGTTTTGCAAACCAATGCGGTCAGAGTTTCGTTCGTCTCTCAGAGACATTTTCGGGTGCCACTGTAGGCTCAGATTCAGCCTTTATGTGTCACATGACCTCCCTGATGGGATTCTTTATTTTTTTTTTTCCCTGAGCAAGAGAGAGTGGTGGGAAATATTAATTGAGAGGCAGGACTTGTCGAAACACAGATTCAGATTATGCTGACATGGTTCTTTGAAGAAAGCAGACAGGTAATTTGCTAAATGGAGGCAGTAACTGTTGTGATTTATTCAAAATGTGACGCCCGTAATGTCACCGTAACATCTCCCGCCGCAGAGCAAAGTGCGGGTGGCGTGTTAAATAAATCAGAGGTCCCGGGTGCCTTTATGTGGCAGCATGGAGCACGCAGTTTTCTCCATTCTTTCTTTTCTCTGTAATTGCAAACTCTTCCATTACCTCTCCGTTTGGTTATTATCGTTCATTGGCAGGCTGAAATCTCCCACAAGCTCGGGGTTTCTAAGTAAACAGCGAATCATGTAACTCGGATGGGTTATTCCATTCTGTAATCTGTACTGATCCAGCTGGCTCCTCACTGCACTGCCCTTAGTAATAAAGAGCTTTGAGGACATTAATTATCGCACAAAAACCCGCTGTGAATCAGGGTTTTTCTTCTGCTAGGAAGTGTCCATGTGCTGTGCTTTGATATTGTGAAATGTACGATTTCACGTGGCCCCTCTTTTGTGGAACATTCCCTAGCTGTTGCTCCAGAAGGCGACCCCTCCCTTTCATGCGTAATGATAATTCACTCCTTAATATTTCACATTACCTTCCTCCTCCAACCCCCGTTTCCTCCTGAAGTCGTCTCTTCTCCTTTCTCTGTCTAGCCGAGTGCGGCTCGTCCGTCATGAACAACGAGGGCATCCTCCTCTCGCCGAACTACCCCATGAACTACGAGAACAACCACGAGTGCATCTACAGCATCCAGGTGCAGGCCGGGAAAGGCATCAACATCTCTGCCCGGACCTTTCACCTGGCGCAGGGAGACATGCTCAAGGTGGGCCGGCCCGCCGTCCCATGGAGAGATGCGGGCGCGCTTACCATGCTTTTTAAAGATTTCAAACTGTTCAAACAGAGATATGGACAAAACAATGGTAAAGGAGCCCCTGGGATTGTTTGTACTGTGTTGTTTCATGTCTGGTTTCTTGGGGGTGGACGGGGGACGTTCAGTAACATTTGGCAAACAATCTATCGGCCTTGAGCAGCTTTGAGACTGAAGTGCTGTTTCCACGACGCGTAGATCTATGACGGGAAGGACAACACGGCCCACGTGCTCGGGGCCTTCACTGGGTCGTCCATGCTGGGCCTGACGCTCATGAGCACCTCCAATCACCTCTGGCTGGAGTTCTACACGGACGTGGAGTTCACCGGAGAGGGCTTCAAGCTCGTCTACTCCAGTAAGTCGCAGGAGGATAATCCACCTTCGCCCAGTGATGGTGGGAAATGCTCATTTATCAAGCTGAGCCACGAGCGCCCCAGTAAAAATTGAAAGGGAACTTCTCCTGTTACATTATCATGCATTAACTAAGACTAAGAACCCAAAGAGAATGACTATGTAATTTCAACACGGAGAATGTCTTATTCAGGGATTTTATGCATGGAAAGCCGTTAAGTATAATACAGTATGTAAGGAGGGCACAGGGTGACTGGTGTCGACCTTGGTTCTGTCCAAACGGATGTGGCTTATATAGAGTTGATGCCCTGCCCAACCCCCCCCCAGGCCCCCACCACCTTCCCAATTTCCACTTCTCACATGTTGAGAGTGACAGAGTTTTAGTTCCCGGGGCAAACCATTAAATTCACTTGGGGGGTATCTCGTTTGAAATCTAGTAAATCCCCACCTGCCCGAGATTGCATTTTACCGGGAGGATTAGCTATTCGATTGCATAATGGAGGTCGTACAGTGTGAGGGGAAGGTGAGGTCACCGCCTGCCATGACAGCGACTTGGCCAGCGGATAAAGATGGGCAGCAAGGTAAATTAAAATAGCCATTTGTGGGGCTGGCTCTTTCTCGGGCCTGGGCTTTGCCGGGGGAGGGGGGGTGATTTAATGCCATGTGGTTAACCGGCTAAGTAAGGTTAACGGGGTAGATATCACCTGATCGGGGGGTAAAAAATAAACAGCAAGTGTTGGACAACATCGCAAATCAGTAGGCGATCTAGACCCCATTGATTTAAACTAATTGCTAACACGTGTACACAGACGTTACAAAAACTAGGCAAAGTCAAACCCATTTGCTTAATCCTATAACCACTTTCCCTACAGTCGTATAGCAAAGAGCACAGAGCAGCTTTGACTTCGTCACTGTTACATTGACAAAGGGACTTATTTTGTTGAAGTAATTAAGGATTATGTTCTTTGCTCAAGGGTATAACTTGTCCTTGTATTTGCAATTGCAAATTTGGTCACAAACTCAATGTAAACAAACACAAAGGCTTTGGCTAATGGAGAGAGAGTGGCGGGTGTGATTGGGAGCTGGGGGTATTTCAGATCGCATCTGAGTTTACGAAGTAAAAGCCCACTGCGCCGAATCTAAAGAACAACGACTTGAAACCAGAGAGCAGTTTCCAATATCAAAGGCCATTTTCCATGAGAGTTTTCAACGGAGCTGAATTCTGGGAGCAACAGCTGCCTGGAAGCCTCTTTAAAGTGCCAATTATTCTCTTCCCCAGCATTTTTATGAGGACATAAGGGAGCAGGAGGAACCTGTTGCGGATCTGGTACCACACAACACATATGAGACACTGAATAAGTAATGATTGAGACGATGTGGCGCAATCGAAAGACGCAGCAGAGTGATTCCTGTCCTGTGTTTCACTCCTCAGTGCGTAATTATGATACCGCATGATGAGAGCGGTGATTTCAGATGATGATAATAGCATCTATCTCAGTAGGGCTGCCTGCGATGCTCTGCTAAGCACATTCTGAAATTAACTCAGCACTTAATCTTAATTGTTCTGCCTGCTCAGTAAGATGGACACTCCTGCCTGTTGGGACTTTAAAGTCAGATTTCCTGCTAATGAGTACTTTTAAAGGGCCGACCTTCAGCTTGGCGCCCGGCAGAGACAGGCGGGCACGTGGGGAGGGAGGGGTCCCCGGATTTCAAATGGCAAGCGAGTCAGCAGAAATAAAAGTGTCCCGATTGGCTCGCTCCGGTCACAGATTCGCTCGCTCCCTCCCCGCCCCCGCAGGTTTCGAGCTGTCCCACTGCGAGGACCCCGGCGTGCCCCAGTTTGGCTTCAAGGTCAGCGACCAGGGGCATTTCTCCGGCAGCTCCATCACCTACCGCTGCAACCCTGGCTACACCCTCCATGGCAGCAGCGTGCTGAAGTGCATGACCGGCGAGAGGAGGGCCTGGGACAACCCTCTCCCCTCCTGCATAGGTAA